ATGTACAACACGTCTCGAATAGCCACTTTTGCTAGTACATGCTGCGACGGACTCAATTTGCTGGGCGCTCGCAGTGCTAGGAGAAACCACGGGAAAAAGCATCATCACTTTACGAAAAGAGTGGCAGAGTCTTTGACTAATCACAGATATCGCGGCACTGGTATCGATGAGTGCAAGTGTTCGTAGACGTTTGTCGATTACATCCATAAGGTTGGCGGGAGACAGGCGAGGACTTAAACAATTAGACGACGACGCAGCTCGTGTCTCCGGAGCTGCAGCAGTTAATTTTCCGTCTCAATGGAGGCGGGTCGTCGACGCATAGGCGATACAGAACCACGACTTATTGAAGGGGAAGGCGAGTGGGAAGTAGAATGTCGAGAAGCGAAAGTTCAGGTGCCGGGAGCAGCTTGCGCATCGCGTTTCGTGAACTTCAGGTGGCACGTGAGGCGCGTGGTATGGAGGTTGAAAGGAGTAGTCAGGGTATCTTGGTGCATTAACTGCAAAGCGCCGACGACATAGACCTGCAACGTGACCTGGAATTCCGCAAAAGTAACATATGGGCCGGTTGTCAGCAGTGCACCAAAGATTTCCGTCTTGCTACTGTTTAGCTGAAAACGGCGCATTGGAAGGTCGCACAGGTTGTGGCGTATACAATGGCACGAGGCGGAGGCATTGCCCCGACGGCCGCAGAAGTCAGTGGCGCGGCAACAGGTGTTGGTGGAGAGGCAGACATAGGTAATGGCAACGCCTCAGAGACCTGCTCCTCAATAGCCTGTCTGATTGTCAACGTTAGGCAGGTTCGTTGGTGCTTCCGTGGTCGGAAGATATGCGAGACACGAAAGCTGTCGTGCGACCTCTTCGCGTACTTATCCTTTTATCTGCTCCAGCAGGGTGCTGCCACCACGGACGGCCAGGGCAGTGAGAGAGTCGTCTGCTGTCGTCGACCTCCGAACTAATACACGTTGTTTGCAAATCTCTTCCAAGCTCTGGCAAAGGGCCCAAGTACCAAGGTCACAAGTTCGGATACGGTACTCGGGCCCTTTGCCAGCAACATTTGAAAGGCATCATCGTCTATTACTTTCAAGATATGCCTGATCTTGTCTTGTTCGGTCATCTCAGGGTTAAAGCTGCCGGCATAAATGAATAACATCTTGAATATAGCTAGTGAAGTTTTCGCCCTGCCTTTGCGCTCGTCCGCCTAGGCGCTGCTCAGCACGCAGCTTGCGCACTGCGGGGCGATTGAACACAGCTACAAGGGTGGTCTTGAAAGCGGCCCAAGGGGTAAATTCAGTACGGTGGTTTGTGAACCACAGGCTGGCGACGTCTTTGAGATAAAATGGGACATACTCCAATTTCGAGGGGTCGTCCTACTTGTTGGTGGAGCTCACCTTTTCAAACAGCTGCAACCAGTCTTCCACATCTTGGTCCTCGTTGCCGCTGAAGAAGGGGGGATACCGTTGGCGCGGGGTGGCAAATACGATGACCAGTTGAGATTGGGCCAAGCTTTGCAGGGTGGTGCCTTGCTCGGCTGTATGATCAGGCATTGCTGATGCAGTGGACAGCTTCTGGCTTCGAAGTTCCAGGTTTGCGTACCCAGCAGCACACTTCCACCACTTTGCAAGGGAGTTTAATAGCGATGCCAGGTAGTAGGCAGGCAGCCGGTACGGACACAAATGCTCCAGCAGTGCGGTGTCTACAGCTCGTGCACACGCTCGCGCTTCGCACTCAGAGATGGTCCCACTAGTCAGTGCCTTGCAAATTACCCACTACACTTAGATTAATCACATTAATCAAAAGATGAGATGTAGAAGCATATAAAACTTTGAGCATGTGTACTTGTATCAAACTACTTAGTTGAACATCTACACGAGTGTCGCACAGCAGTACCAAATTTGAATATTCTGAGAGGCAAATTAGGATGCACGGTATTTCCTTGGTTATCTTAAAGGAGTACGAACAGGATAATGTACACTTTTTCTGTGTAAATCAAAAGCCACAGCTAGAAAATAGGAAAGCAAGTGTGAGTGCGTACTGAAATATCAACTAGAACCAATCTTTAAAAGGTACGTACAGTTCGAACTCTACCCCGACTATATGATATGGCACGAAGTTCTCGTCCTGTGCTTGCGCAAAATATCGTGACATTTTTATAGCTGTACATAAACAAAAAACATGCAACACAATCACACCATCAATTACAACATACTTGTTTTCTTTTTTTTATCACTATAAAAAACTGCTGAATTGAGTGACACAGCTATCAGAACCACAATCGTTCTTCATTTTTTAAAGAACAGTAAAGGCAAATATTAGGTCAATGTTGATGATTGAAATGGCCATCCAGAAACTTTTTAGTGAAACATTTATGCCAAGAAAGTGCTTATTCTGAAATAAAATTACGTTTTCATGGTCCGCATCCCATTATCGCACTTTAAATCCCCCACCTAAAATCCGACTGTTGGACATCACTATTACCATGCCCAACATTGACAGCCTTCACTACCCCAACACCGACACAAGTACCAGCGGAGCGACAGTAGCTGTAGCCACAGTAGAAACCACAGCCTTCAAACAGACTTTTGCCATCTCAGAGGCCATACTTCTGCTTGCTTGGTTCAACTGGGCTCTGCTAGATGGGACTACCCTATGTGGCCTTACCAGCCGAAAACTCCGCTTTTGAGCCACTTGCACCATTCCCCACAGTAACGCCAGGCAGTTTTTTTAATATAAATCAAGCATAAACTAGTAAGCATCATTTTGTTATGTCTCTTGATGCACAGAAACTTTTTTTTATTGCAGCTAGTTTGATTATAGCGATTATTATTAGTTGGACACTCTCACGTCATCAGGACCATTCTGCAAATGTCCCCTTCGTGACGAATGTCGTGGGATACGTTTTGTTTGATGTCTTGCTAAGCAAGGCACTACTGTTGATAACATTGCTGCTCTAGATGTCATACCATAAGCATTCACTTCAACATAAATCATCATTTGCCTTCAGTGTTCCTTTAAAGAACCCCATCGCAGTTCCCCAAGTGACGCATGCACATCTTCAATGCGCTTGAACGATCTCACTAGATCAATCAATCAATCAATCAATCAGAATTTATTTCCAGCTTCAAAGACATTCAATGGAGTTGGGTGGTACAGACAAAAAAGCCATAGATCAGCCATGACAGGGTCCGTAAGACCGGGCTTGGAAAACGTGGCATACAGAGTATATAGTAAGAAAAAGAAATGGGCACACAGCAGTTCTTTCACTGAAACAACATAAATGTGCTAATAAAACTGAAAAATGTACACAGTAGAAATAGAAAAAAAAATAAAAAAAAGAAAAAAAAAGAGGAGAGACATTCACAGATACTGATCACGTTTAAACGTTCTTTTAAGGAGTTCAAAACACTAATTGTGGCACATGCATGTGAAAAAGCCTAGATGCAAGATACACACTTTCAACAAACAAACCTGCGCTCATTGGTTATTAGTGACGGCAACCTGCTCACAATGTCGTAAGTGCACATTCAGGACCACGTAAGATTTTGATACACTTGCTATCTTGAGGTGTATTCGTTTTAAGGGAGTATGCATTCTTACTGCAGGAGCACAAAAGGAGAGCCGAAGCACATGTCAGGGATTTAAAATGCTATGCTTTCGTGTATCGTAAAGTACACAAGACTGGACAGCGATACGAAGATATACCAGAGTTGACTTGTGAATACTGGCTTCATACTATCCGATTATAAAGCATGATCAGGGCACAAAATTCATACAGAAAACACGGCATAAGCACAAGAATGGTTTGGAAACACTAAAAAAGGTAAGTATTTTTAGGTAATCTGAAAACTGCTACAGTGATGATGATAAACGAATAAGAAAAACAACTATAAAATGTGAAAGCATGTACGGTCTGAAGAGTGAGTTAACAAAAGAGGAAGCGGCAACGACTTTTCAGTATTTCTTGCGCACTCACTGTCTTGAAATGAAAGAAAGACAAAATAAACAACAATGTGGTCACCAATATTCTGCCCAAATACCCAGTTTTTCTGGTAAGCACTAGGAAGCAAGAAAGTATGCCAGTATTTAGCCAAGTAAAGAGTTCGTACATTAGGTGCCATCTACTGCATGTGTATTCTGAAAATTAAAAAAAAAGATTCTGCTTTTACTATAAGAATCCCAAAGCTTTTTAGAAACTACAAGGACACTTTCAAATAAGTAAGAAAAGTGTAGGTTAACAAAAGCCGATCGTGGAAAATGATGAGCTAGGAGACACCATGCTTGACACTGTCTTGTGAAATTGCATTCAGAGTGACAAAACAAAGTCCAAGACAGCCATTGAGTCGAGGCAGAAACTAATAGTCATTGCAGGCACAGACTAGGTACAAAGATACCTTAGATTGACACCCGACTAAAGCCTTTGAGTGATGAATTAAAGGAGAATAATTATATGAGAGACATAAATAAAAAGCTATTCATTATTGTTATAAAATGCATCCACAAAAGAATCTGCAATTCACTAAATTCATGGGCTTTTTCTTGTTCAAAAATAAACAAGATCCATAAATTACAGTAATTATTGAACCTTTGGCAGAGATAAAGTAATTTAAAGGGGCACTAAAAAGCAAAACAGTTTTTTGCATGTTAGTAATGTAAGACTTCACAATATGAGTAAGTGAGAAAACGTGTGATAAAAAATGCAGGTGGCAACGCCACCTAGAGATTACCCCACCAAACACAGCAACGCGAGAAATTTTAAAGGCATCTACTAGGTGCTACGTAGCTTAAGATCAATAAAAATAAGGTACATTGTAATCTCTAGATGCCACAGACATAGCAAATGATGTTTTAGAAACTTTCGTCAAGGCAATGCCAAGAAAATACTGATAATACATTTTGAAATTTCTTCTGTAATGCGGAGGTCTTGGTGCGAAATTTAAAAATGAAACATCAGCTTCAATTTTCTCCCCTAATAATAAACTTATGATAGTGAAGCACAAGGCTTTATAGTTTTCAGAGCACAGCTTGTCTATCTGAACTAAGTGACTGCTCCTGTTTAGTGTCCTTTTAAGATAGTCCCCTAGCAATGCAGGCTTGAAATTTTTCATAATTCCCTTTCAGGAGAAAATATTGTAAACTGCTATAGACTACCCACCGACATACTCCCTAAGGACAACGCAAAATCCAAGTGCTACATCGTTGCCAACATTCAAGAAGGCAATCCTAAAGGTGAGCATGACTCCAACTATGCCAATGGTTGAGTGGCATGCCTTACCACAAATGTCACTTACAGCATGCTTTAAAACAGAACGTGCCAAGCCGGCTGTAGAAGCTCTGCATTTGGACTTGGCTCTAATTTTGACTGCAGCTTTCACATAAATTGAGCTGGCAGAGGGTGGAGATCGTTGGGAAGGCACTGGCAATGTTTGAAGCTACCAAACTGATTGGACGAAGCTTGAGGAGCTTCCAAGGCACTGGCTGCACCACAGTCCAGTCAGGAGATTTCATGCATGCCTAAAACTGTTGCACCGGTATTAAACGAAAAGTTCTAAGAAACACAAGTAACCTATTAAAGCAGCTGCCCATTCTTTCATTTCTGCTGTGTCAAAATAGATGTCTATAAACCACACTTTGCCCTGGAAAAGAAACGAAAGGATGGCTTGTAGAACTATCCACAATTTAGAAAAAAATTGCTCACATCATGCTGAAAAATACAGTTCATTGCTAGGACATGTAGGTGAATGGACGCATGAAACGTACGTCTGATATTGGATATAAGATGTCGGATATCAGATTTCGGAGCTTGTTTTCTCATACATTCCCACTTCAAGATTTCCCTGTCGTGTTTATAAAAGGATCCAGCAATTAAAACTACGTCTCTAGAATATCAAATTTAACAAGATTCTCAGTAGCTGTCCATAATAGAGAACAATTTGTTAATAAACCAATGCTGCCAAGAACGCCATTACAGGCTTTGCAATGTTGAAAAAAATTGAGATTTACCCATAGATTTTACACAATACTAATTAGGCTGAGCATCCTTCTTGTTTTAGAAATTTTTACTTATGTCTGTTGTGTATGATAATATTATTATACTTTTATCAGCATGTTATAAAAACATCGGTGATGCCACTTATCTGTTCACAGGTGTGAATGTACAGCCAACCACAAAAGTTTACAGACCACACGTGCAAGGAAAAACCGATTATCTGTGTCACCTAGTGGTGCGCCATCTATTGTAGCCTACAGGGCTAGGCCGGAAACTAGTCTTCTTGTTATCCACTGGTGCTTCAATTTACGACAGCCGCATAGCACATTGTTAGTTCACAGTTTTCACGCGAAGTGTTCATCTGCCGTATGACCGTCGCATTTCTATTTTACAGCTAGATCAAAGCTATTCATGGCGAGATCAGGCTATAGGTGGCAGCACCGTCTCCGTCGAAGAGTGGATAGGCGGTCGGCGCACGTATACTAATACAGGCAGCAACACCTTGTTGCATGCGGTTTGAGCCGATTGTCGACGAGTAAAATACGTTGACCACAGTTTACTGGTAATATCTACGCTCCTCTCTTCGGAATCGATGCACAAACTCTATGCGATGCTACCATTACCTGGTCGTAAAGCACATTCAGCCTTTTGAAGGGAGGCTTGCCCAGAGTGACTGTCGCTGCTTTTTCGAACTAAAGAATGCTTTTGCTGTGAAGTTTGTACGCGTTTAACTTGTGTTCCGCCTGCTATATACGCACTGCTGTAGCGCAACTGAACTGCTTATTCACTTTTTTGTTATCTGCATACGATGAAAAAGAGACAAAGGAAGATCGTTGAAAGCCCGCATACCTGTGTAATTACTTCAGTACCACCGTTCGCACTCGACCGCATATGTACTTTGTTTTCTCATTCTGTTCATTATTAAATCTGGTACATTCGATAAGTCTAGTCAAGAAAGCTTAGTGGCCGACAGCGTTTTGTGCTACAACAAAGGTCTCGTTATTTTAACAAAAAAAATTATCGCTTGTCTTCCATCGGTCAGTAACAATGCCACACAAGCACTCAAGACAATGTAGTAAAGACGAGACTTTCAGCGAAACTATTCAACAATAAATGTAAGGCATGCCGCCTCAATTAATTTTGAACATCTGGGCTCTTTAAAGCTTTCCTAAATCTAAGTACGCCGTTGCGCATGGCAACTCTGTTTTAGGTACACATCACTACGGAAGTGTCACAGTTTATGTGATAATATATATATGCAGTGTTACCACATCCAGATAAACACACCTATGGCTCCTCGCACAATCGATAAACTACGGTGCAGTAGTTGTGCCCCTACGTACAGTGCAAAAGATGTAGAGCATCGTTTTCATTTACAACAGAGCTGCTAAAACGCTACATTCACACACATTTATTAGTCCCCATGTTACAGAAGATGCATAAATCATTTTATGATGCGCTTGAAGAAGAAAGCCGCACCAACTCTGAAATCATTCTGGGGAATAGAGAATATGACGAAAATAAACAGCACTCTGGGAAGTTGCACTTGTTAATTTCAGTACAATGAATCAGCAGCTGAGCAAGACGAAATTCTTTCGTACATTGTTTCAGGCACACATACAAGCAGTTGCGCTCGCGCTGACAATATCGAACAAACCATTCTTTGAGAACGTGCATGACCTCCACGCACATAAAAACACGACGTGGCTAGGAGACGACGTACGAAGCAATCTACATTTGCGCGCTTCAGCTAGTTGCCACCAGGCGATCAGAAGCCAGTTGCCGCCAGGCTCGATCTCGCGGCCAATCATAGTGTGCCTCCAAAAGCATTCCGTTGGCTAGGCATCCCTTTGCGATAAAGACTGCAACTGATAACAGTTACACTTGACTGCCTACAAGGCAGAAGCTTGTAGACGCACATGTCAGAAAAGCACACAGAGTTAAAAAATGAAAATTATTTGTGCCCAGTTAGAAAACACAAAGGTCATATTCGGAGAGATATGCTTATTTGGCTCTGCGATGCAGTCGGCTGCCCCTGACGTAGTAAAAGTGCGTGAAGAGGCTTTTCCGTGGTTTGTAAACTTTCGTGGTCTACTGTACATCTCTACTTTTACACTACAACACTGATTCACACTGTTACATGACGAGCTTGTTGATGGTTTTTATCCGTGAACAAATCCTTGCGGTCGATGTTTTTTGCCATCTTGAAGCCGTGATCAATGATTCGTGATGGGTATCTTTGTCTGTCTAGTGCACCTCGAAGGTACTCGCAGTCTGTACTAAATACGGCGAAAGGTCTTTCTGTCATTTTAACATTAAGACATTGTTTATCGCTTATGCAAAATCTAACACGAGATTCCCTGTATGTCCCAAGTAATATATGCATAAGAAAAGAAGTTGGTACACGTACGAGAAAGCAAGCAGTTCCTTTATCGAATTAAGTTTCAGCCCTTTTAAGGGCCACGCATATCTCAAACACATCAAAAGTTCGAAAACAAATATCGGTGACAATTCATTTTGATCTGTCACCTGATGTAACAAGATAAGTGCTACAACTCAAGGCACATATGAAGAGGAAGCCATCGCATCAGTGATACATATAAACCAGTAAAACGATGATTAGGCCGCAAAAGAGACGCAAGAGATTAGGGCGACATGCGCGGCAAGACATATCATGTGCACCTACTCTGGCACAGCACAGATAAAAGTACTGAAAGGTAACTAAACAAAACTTTACAAGTCACTATAATCGCCATACAAACAATAGAACGTGCGACTTTAATGGAATATGCGGTGAAAAAAAAGAGGGGAGTGCATGAGAAAAAAAATGTGTGTGACGGGAGAGGGGAGGATAGCGTATGAATACGATAAACTACCTCCCACAAAAAAAGGTGACACGTCCAATGCTTTCATTTATGCCAGCGTGAAGACTGTCGAATTTATTGATGAGGTACGGTTCACGAACTTCTCAGTCATAATGAGTTTTAAATTTAGACTGTAGTGCGGTAGGTAGCCTTGATGTTTGAAAAGGAGTGACCTGGCATCTGGACATGTTTTTGTAGTGAAAGATGAGGTAGGTTAGAAGAGTGGCTCTATGGTTGTTAAAGCGTAATCTGAATGACATTTCCGTGTGACCGATGTATTGCTGGTGGCATGTGGAGCACTCAAGCATGTAGACAACATTGGCGCTGTCGCAAGTAAAGTCTCCGTTGATGCTCATTTTAAAGCTTGAAGCGCTGCTAATTACGGAGTGCGAAGTTGTCATGTGTGGGCATACCTTACAACGGGGTTTATTGCAAGGGTGACAGCCAACATAGTTCGGTCGGCTGCTTATTTTGGACGAAGTTACGGTACCATGCAAGTTTCGCGATCGGCGATAAACCATCTTGAGTGGTTCCGTAAAAATGTCTTTTAAGCGATCACTTCGAATCAAGATGTGGTGTTTCTTGAGAATGTTGGTCACATTTGGAGTTGATGCTGAATGCGTTAAAATGAGATTCACATTGTTACGTGACGAGCTTGTTGATGGTTTGTTACTTGTGAACAAATCCTCGCGGTCGATGTTTTTTGCCATCTTGAGGGCATCGTTAATAATTCATGAGGGGTATCTTTGTCTGCTAAGTGCACCTCGAAGAACTACGTTGAACTACACATACAAACTACGACGAACTACACCTCGAAGAACTCGAAGGTGCACTTCGAGAACTACGACGGGATCGAAGCATTGTCATCTTGCCCGCCGACAAGGGCAATTCGACGGGGGTGTTAGACAGCGGGGACTACGATCGAAAGGTTTCAGCTCTTTTAGAAGAGGACGCATACATGCAGCTAGTAAAGGACCCAACGAAGCAAACCCAGACATTGCTAAAGAAGGTACTTGCGGAAATTTTCAAGCACTACCCGGATCTCAGAACACTTTACCTGCGACTAATCTGCCATAACGGATCCGCACCGAGCTTTTATGGACTACCGAAAATTCACAAGCCTGACATCCCCCTCCGACCGATTGTAGACTTCACTTCCTCCCCCTGCCGAGCCCTTTCAAATTTTCTACACCAAATCTTCACCCCACTAACCCGGAAGACATCAACTCATGTCCGTGACACCAGCCACTTCGTGCAGCTAGCATCAAATGTGAGCATCGGCGATGATGAGAGCATGGTCCGATTCGACGTCAATTCATTGTTCACCAACGTGCCAGTTCACTTAGCTGTCTCCGCTGCCCGTGCTGCACTTGAGG